TACCGTTCACCGTAGACAATAACAAGTTTAGCCAAAATACAGTATAGCGCCGCCATGATAAAGCACGGAGCAATAGTCAAGCAAATAATCTGGCACAAGTAAGCGTTTCGATTCGTGTAGGGCTGGTAGTGCGACACCACTCTGGCAATAAAACCGGCAAATTCCAATCCGATACCGATACAGAAACAGGACCCGTACCAGTACTGGCGGTATTTCACGGCATAAAACGTCTGGATCACGAGCACAAATGCCATAATGATAAGCATAATCAAATTACCAGGAAGGGTTGGCACGTAATTGTAATACAGAACAACAGTGTTGTCAATAAGTGACTGGATCTCAGCTGTTGCAGAGGCAACCACTGAGGAATCAGTTGCAGTAGCAGCCACTATAGCTTCTGAAATGATTGCAAGCGTCACGGACGCATCGGACGCGATGGTGGAGAGCGAAGCAATAGCTTTGGCGGCGGTGGCGGTGGCAAGCACCTTCTCAGCCGAAATGAGCTGCGCAGCTACCGAGGAGACAAACGCCTGGTCAACGAGGAATCCCCTGACGGTTGTTGTAGGGAGAGAGTCCATAGCAGAAATAGTGTGAATGTGAGGTCAGGTTATATGAGAGAGAAAACTAGCTTGGGCTATTTTCGGGAAATCCCCCCCATTATATGTTTGCAATTTTTACGCTTACAAATTGTACATGCATGTACAGGGAAAGGTTGTGCGTTAGGCAGAAGGGCCCTTGGAAGGGTGGGCAAATAAGGATTTCATGGAAGCATAGCCCCGTTGGAGCAAATTATCCTCAGTTTCCAAATCATCGCTAATTCCCAAAATGTTTGTTAAGTAATACTGGTGTATACCCTGTAGTGACCTCATTAATCCAAAAACTAGTATACTTTGGTCTAAGGAGGCTGAAGTCCTATATAAGTCGCCCAACAAGGTGTAGTCGCCTCTGCTGTATATGCAGTACTCTAGCATGGAGATTGCAGGATATAAATGCCGATAGTTAGGGATTACTCAAAACGAGGCTGTACGTGTAAAACGGAGTTAAGCCGTGTTGGGAGTGCATGCGTCATGGGGCCAAAAGAAATGTGTAAAGTCCGTGATTTAGACGATTAATACATATCAGATGTATACTAAGTCCTATGCTAACAAGAGCATGGCTTTCTGGTGTAAGGTGGAGTTCTTGGGAACCAGTTACGCTCCTGGGTTTCCAGAAACGATCAGAACCCTACGAGTTTGGCACAATATCTAATTTGTGCAGAGCCACGATTTAGCGGGGACATTTCCAATGACAAGGATAGATTTCTGTCTGTCCTTTCTGGTCATGCATCTTGCACTACAGAGTTTATGATTGAAGGCTGTGCTAGTATTGGCCCCACCTGTTCCAGACATGGATTGGGCCACAGGCCTCACCAGAGTATGCTAAAGGTTTGGGAGACATAGAAATGATTTCTTTCGACAGGTATTTTCAGTATCGGCGATATTTGGCGGATTGGCAAACAGACTGCGGGTTGTACAAAATGAAAGGTATGGTGTCTCACACAGAATTGTCCTATTCCCCTAAGTTGAGGGTATCCGCTTTCTGTACACTGCAATATTCCCTCGGATTTACATCTACGAGAATCCTCAGTGTATTGTGTTTGGCAGCTGTTTTATAAGAATAGGAACGTTTACACCCTTAAAGATATCTCTGAGGGTTGAAGACGTGACTTAGCGGTGTCATCTCTC